GAAAGCTCCCTTTTCTAATTCTAATAAGTGCCTTTTCCTAATTTTTCTGCCCAGAAGAGATACTGTTTCTTAAATTACACAAATGTGCTATATAAGCCCAGAATGTTAGTTAAAACAACTGAATGTCACTGGTGAGTTATTCTTTCCAATGATAAATAAATCTGACCTAAATCTGTTAAAGCTTCTAAATGTAACTAATAATATAGAGAAAATATAGAGAAATATTACATAATACCACAGAAATGCAATCAGCAAAATTCAAACTGGAAACTCTTCTGAACAAGCTACCAGGTAACATCACTAAATAAGAGAGAGAGAGAGAGGAACAGAGAAAAAAGGAAAGAGATAAGAAAGATCTTAAGTAAACAAGGCAAAATATTGACTTTTACATATCTGGACATGTTTTTGTTTATTCTACTATTTTGTATCTTATGTATGTTTAAAATGGAAAAAAGTAGATTTAGCAAAGTCAAATAAATGTAAAGGTTTCAGAGACAAGTTTTGCTCAGAATGGTTTGGATAGAAATTAAATCATTAAAGACTATAGTTAAATGAGAATTAGATATAACTGACTCCACCTAATTCAATATGCCTTCAGAATTCTAGAAAGAATTCTATGAAAGGCTCATTTCTTAAAATAGATGGCCCTGATAAACAAAGAAAAAAATTATCCTTTTCTGTAATTAAGACAAAGTTCATCCTTGAATTGAAAAAACAAAAAAGACATAGAATCCAATCTTCTCTGATACGCAATCAATTCATTTGGGTGTTTGCTGGATTAAACTGATACACAGGAAATATGCTTCCTCAATTGCTAAGAGTTAAGGGAGAAAAGTATTTTCATAACATTTCACCTCTTTTTTCCTTTCTGCTCCTGTATTTTCTCCCATAAATAGTTCCCTTAATTAACCTTTCCATATCCTATTCCTCCTTTCGGGAAGCAACACTCTATCACTTGCCTCCTGAAATACCTTTGCTACTTGAGAACATGAACAAAAAACAAAGTGAGTAAAATTATGAGATAGCCAGCATCAAGATGACCCAGGGATCCCTGCCTCCTGGTATTCACACTTTTGTGTATAAATACCCTTCCATGTTATAACAGGATTGTTCAGTACAAACAAAATATAGCAGAAGTCACGGTAATGTCACTTCTGTGATTAGATTATAAAAGGCTCTGTGGCTTCCGGTTCTGTCTAATCACTAACTCTGGGAAAAGCCATGTCATGAGTAGCCCTATGGAAGGCCCAGGAGGAAGAACTGAAACCTCCTGCCAAGAGCCACATGAGTGACCTTGGAAAGAGATACTCCAACGTCAGACGACAGTTTGAGTGAACTTCATGAGAGACCCTGAGCCCAAATCACTCAGCTAAGCCACTCTCAGATTCCTGACCCTTAGAAACTGTGAAGATAATAAATGTTTGTTTTAACTACTAAATCATTACACAGCAATAGAGAACTAGTACAAGTATATTATAAAAATGCCCCCAAGTTCAACTTTGTGAAATACATATTGTACAAACTCAACATACTAGCAAATCAAAAGTATTACACATCAAAATCCATGTTTTATTACCTATCAGAAAAGCAAGATGAGTAGCAATAGGAATTATCATACATCGTTGTTGGAGGCATAATCAACACAATCGTTTTTGAGAACTAGGCAAAATTTACCAAAATTTAAAAGTCACACACACTACTAGGCATTTACATGTTATATCTTATGATATATTTGCATAAATGTTTAAAGAGATAAATAGACAATTTACTCCAGTGAAAAACTGGACATCTAGATATTCATCAAAAAATGTTTGGTTAAATCAATTATAGTACAAATGAACAATGGACTACCATTTAACTCCTAAAAATAAAGAAAATATATAAATACTGATTTAGAAAAGATACCTAAGATATCTAAGATGATGAAAAAAGTAAGAATACATATACACACACACACACACACATAAAATCTCATTTTCATGAGTGAACATGAGAAAATTACAATAAGGTCATTATAATTAAAGCTATATTTTCAAATTGTATAGTCTCATTAATTTAAAGATAATCATTATTGTGCAAGTCTTTCATAGCCAAATAGACCCTATTTTAATTTCATTTTTGCTTATACTCATGCTACCCACAAATAATAATATGATAGCCAATATACAGGACAAATGCTATGTGACAGAGACTCTACTAAACACCTCCAAATATTTCATGTGTTATTTGATCCTCACTTAACATAGATAGTAGCACTATTCTCTCTATTGTACACATGAGAAAAATGAGGCACAGGAGTTAGTAATCTGCCCAAAGCCACAAAGGCTATAAAAGAATTCAAAATCAGAAATTTGTTCTCTTAGCCAATACCCTATAGTCTTTTATTCATTTTACTCATATTTCATATCAAAAAAAGACTATAAATGTGGTCTATAACCATCTAAGGGGTTAGCAAATAAACCAAAATAAATGTAATATCAGAATGACTTGGACAATTCTGAACTCTTATAAGAAAACAAAAAAGACTAAAGATACAACAAAAGCAATTTCTAATTAAAAATAAGTATCTTATAATGAAAAAAAAAAATGTCATTTTCCCAGTCAAGAAAAAGCTAAGAGTTCATCACCACCAAACCAGTATTACAAGAAATATTATAGGGACATCTTTAAGACAAAGAAAAGAAAAAAAGATAAAAAATACAAAGGGTAAAATGGCAATAACTACATACCTATCAATAATTACTTTAAATATAAATGGATTAAATGCTTCAATCAAAAGATATCAGGAGGACGAATGGAGAAAACAATACCCATATATATGCTGCCTACAAGAGACGCACTTCAGATCAAAAGACACACACAGACTGAAAGTAAAGGGATGAAAAAAGATATTTCATGCAAATGGAAGTGAAAAAGAAGCTGAGGTAGCAATATTTATATGAGACAAAATGGACTTTAAAACAAAGGCTATAACAAGAGACAAAGAAGGGCCCAGCAATTCCACTTCTGGGTATTCGAAGAAACCTAAAACACTAATTCGAAGACATATGCATCCCTGTGTTCACTGCAGCATTATTTACCATAGCCAAGATATGGAACCAACATAAGTATCCACCAATAGATGAATAAAGATGTGGTACACACATACACACACACACACACACACTGGAATATTTACTCAGCCATGAAAAGAATGAAATCTTGCCATCTGCAACAACATGGATGGCACCTCAGAGTATTATGCTAAGTGAAAAAGGTCAGACAGAGAAAGATAAATACCATATGATTTCACTTATATGTAGACTCTAGAAAACAAAATTAAAAAAAAAAAAAACAGAAACTGATAGATACAGAGAACATTTTGATGGTTGCCAGATGGGAAGGGGACAGAGGGGATGGTTAGAAAAGAAGAAGGGATTAAGATGTGCAAATTGCCAATTATAAGAAGTCACAGGAATGTAAACCACAGCACAGGGAATATAGTCAATAATATTGTAATAACTATGGTGTCAGATGAGTACTAACTGTACTTATCAGGGTGATCACTTCATAAATTACATAAATGTCTAATCACCATGTTGTACACCTGAAACTAATATAATATTGTATATCAATTGTAATTGAAAAATAAAAAATATTTTTTAAAAATGCCATTTGTTTTACTGAAGTCAAATAATCTTCCCGATTGACGAATTTCTGCTAGGGAGACATCTCTTCCAGTCAATTACATTTAGTATCCTACCAAAAAAAGCAAACTCTCTTTCCTTGAGCACCAACTGTAATAAACCTGATACAGGAAAATGAAGAGAAATTAAACAAAATATCTTTAAAAATCTAATAGTCTATATGCAGTGTTTGCCTCACTTTCCTTTCCCATGCATTCTACTTGATTACTTTTACCTTATTTTTAATCTTAAACCATTCGATCGTGGATAAAGGATAAAAAATAAAGATTAATGAGAAGAGACCAATTAAGTTAATAAACCCCATTAAATCATTATAACTGCAACTAATCATGCAATTTATGCTTACTCAAAGATCTTGTCTACTACACGGTAGATTTTCCATCATTTTTCATCTCTAAGAAACCTCAGAGAAACTTCAGGAATATAATATATGCTCACCATTATAGCACCTTACATCTCATGCTTTATAGAATCACCTTCCCTGACCACAAAAATGTGGCAAGAAACACTTTAACCAGTTTCTGCACTTATTCTTCAAAATATACAAACTCAACCACCCTCCTCCCCCACTCCCACCCCAAAAATGGGCTTTCTACAGTCAGACATCCTGTGTTCTAA